GAGAGGGTCGTTACGTGACAAAAAATGGAAGTTGATTTTTTCTTTTCTTACAAAATCGCAAAACTCTGCGAATTGTGGATGGCTATTTTCATGAAACTTATTTTAATATGATTTGGAGCAATTCTAGTTGTTTTTAGAGTTTTTTGAATTAATGCAAATTGTTTCAATTCTCTTTTACAACCCCAAGTGTGAAACGTGACGTGACGTGGCGTGACGTGACATAAATTTCCATCGTTATATTTTTGTTAATATTGCTTTTAAATGAATTTTTAACGCAAATAAAACATGTATTTTATGTAGAATATACTTTATATTTTGACTCCAGCGCCAATTCAGGGTCATTTTATTGGAAATCTATGATTTATTATGTTTCAACCACATACGCCAAAATCGAACCAAATCGGACCATAAATACGGTTTTTCGAAATATCTCGACCTTGGCACCACCTAGGAAGACCATTTTATGCAAACATGATTCTACTTACATAGCCAGTATATATTTAAAAAAGCAGACAAATCGGCCCGTAAATACGTTAGATATAAAACTTTTATTTTTTTGTCGTGGTGGACCTTCCGCTGGAAACACCCATATGCTACTTTTTAATGCTGTATACTTTTGGGCCAAACAGATTTTTATTTAGAGAATTTTGGCAGTGAAAAATTTGTGTAGTGATTGTATTCTGCAGGCATCTTCCTCTCGCTCCCATGATGATATGTATGTCTTCGAAGGCATAAATTAGTCTGACTCTTAATTAAAAACAGAATTTATGTTACATTATTTAATTAAAGAACTATATCATATTACAAATTAAAAAAAAACAGCAGGTGCATACGCTAAACTTTGTTGACAGTTTTCGGTTAACTCTGCCTGTGGAAATCGTCAGATTATATATTTCCAGTTATCCTTGGCTGTTTGCTTCATAATAAATAAAAAAATTTACGCGCTACAGAATGTAAAGGTTAGTTTTTTTGCAAGTTTGCGATGCTCCCAATCCCTTCCGTGACGCACAAATCGTCAGATTATTGAAATGCAGACTTTTCAGCATATAATTACCCACAATTCCTTAATATGACGCGCTCGAGTAAATCTATAATTTTTTTTACTATTCTGATAGACTATCCTACGCGCGCGGACCTACATAGGGGGCTTAGATTATTTAGAGGTAGTCAAAAGGCTGCAAGGTATCCCCCCATTTATTAATCTGCCGCGCTCGAATAAATCCCCGATTACCTTCTTGGGCTCCCCCACTTACTATCTACTGAAATTTTTAATATCGTGCAGTTATTTTATCCTTTTAGAATTTTACGAATCTGAGTATGGAAATAGTTTAATATCAAGCACATAACTAAATTAATGGGCATTTCAAATGGTAAACAATTTCTTGCTTCAATGTATGAGTGTCTTTGCGTGGCTGTGTATATGTATGTTTGTACATGTACACCTATGTTTTGGTTAAAGTATACAACAGTTAACCAACAGCTAAGAATTGACTTATAATCTCAAAAAATCCTCGGTACCCGAAACAGCTCTAAACATTGTCCTTACTAGGTTGAGCCTTCAATGGCGTAGCTTCATCCTTTCCTTCTTTTTTCTCTAGCTTATTCCATGATTGTTCCTCACCGGAACCGAAGATGACAAATACCAAGAATTCGATAGAGAAGAGCACAATCGTTACATGGAAAATTATACGCCAGGCCTCAATAGTTTGCTGTAGAATGGAAACTAATTAAGTTTTAAATACATAGATACAAAGTCGTTTCGTAATTAAGAAGGACTTACGTTATTCGTTGTTACGAGGCCGACAAATATTGGAACTATAATGCCCGGAATGGTTGCGGCAGTGTTGGTAATTGCGACCAGTGTGCCGGCGTAGTTTGGTGCAATGTCAATGTGATTAGAGAGGAAACCAGAAAACATGCCACCCATGCCAATGATGCCGATTGTCATGATCACCACAGCAGCGGTGTGTTTACAGCCGATGTTGCAGAGGGCTAAAAGGCAAATTCCGGGGATGATTGTACAGATGCTAGTGGCCGTTTTGCGTGCGGTGGTTGTGGTAATTTTCCCTGGAAAAGGGGGGCATTGGTTAAAATCATTCGCTATTGCTGTAATGTCATATAAGCGCAGTAAAAGCTCAAATTCCAGAGAAAGCAAACCGATACATACATACATGCATATACATAAATATATATTTTTAATGCCATTCATTACCTTTGGCTTTCAGTGTGTCCAGAGTTTTGCCCAATAAAATACTCAAAACCAACATTGGGAAGTAGGGCAGTGCGCTGAACTGGGCATTGCTTGATACATCGAACTTTAGGACTTGTTTCATATAGAATGGGATTTCAATTAAGAACATATACCATCCCCAGTTACTGCAACAGTGAGCAATCAAAATGGCCCAGAATGGTATGGATGTCAGCACTTTCTTCCATGGCACTGGCGGATGTTCCTCATGTTCTGCAGTGTTATCGGTACCCAGCTGTGACGTTATCATTTGTCGTTCTTCCGGACTTATGAAACGTTGTTTATTCGGATTATCCTGGATTAGAAATAGCCACAAGATCATCCAGATCGAGCTTAGACCGCCCATCCAGTAAAAGACCGATTCCCAGCCCCATTTTGCCGACAAAACTCCAGCTAATAGTATAGAGATTGCTGTACCAAAGGAAGTTCCCACATATATAATTGTTGACATAACAGAGCGTTCATTGGGTGGTGCCCAAGATGCAATCATGCAGTGCATCGCGGGGAAAGTAGCGCCACCACCTATGCCTTCCAGGACGCGCATTACAATTAAACCGACGTAGTGTGTTTGCGTCAACACTGGCGTAAGTAAAGTGGCAATTACATTGATGCCTACCGATACAAACATTACCCATTTGGCGGAGAACTTTTCAGCTACACGCGCACTCGGTATTTGCGAAACCAAGTAGCCCCAGAAGTAGCAGCTTAGCAAGATTCCCTGTATTTTTTCACTCCACACAAAAGGGCCATCCTAAAATTTAAGATTATTTGTATACATACATAAGTACTTTTTAATACATTATGAGGAAGAGAGGGGAGTTCACTGTGTATTAAGTATGAAGACAAAACGATTATATGGCATTGATTTAGTTGATTATTAACCCTAGAATACGGTTGCCAGACGTACTGATTTTATCAGTACAGTACTGTTTTTTCAACTCTTGTACTGATTTTATTCATTTCTTCAATCAGTACGCTAATGTCCTGATTTTTCAAAATTTGTACTGATTTGTACTGAATTTCCAACTCAAATAAAATACTTTAGGTTTTTCTTAAGGTTTTACATAACGTTGCAAATTCCTTAAACTGCACTGTAAAAAGTAAACAGAAAATAATTTAATTATAGTTGACATGTTTCAAATAATATTTGATATGTCCAAAAAAATAATGCATTACGTACCAGTTGCGATAATAAGATGGGACTTAAATTATTTAAAAAGAAGGATGACGTTTCTTGTCGAGTTTTGTTAGTTATCTCGAAAATATTTTTCAGTTTAATAACAGCAAATTCTAATATTCGAATGGCTTTTGTCTATAACTTACAATTCTTTTTTCAAAATTTACTGACATTGTAAAAGAGCTTTGCATACAAGACATAGAGTTAGATATTTTTTTTAGCGAATTCTTAGTCTTTCAAAGTTTTTGCGAAGTAGAAAAAATTAATTTAAGCCATGAGGAAATATAGATGCATTCCTTAGATAGTGGTACTTTTCGACAGTTTGAAAAAACATGTAATGTTTTTTTTCAATACCACACTCAAACGAAACAACCGAGAGGATCTTAAGTATAAAGTTTGCTTCCTGACGCAAAGAGAGAAACCGGCTTCTAATTTAAATTTTTTGAAGTGAACTTCAAATTAAAAGTAATTTTAAAATGAAATGTATAGAATTCTTTGACTATTTAAACACTGAAGATTGAACCATCTCATTATTGCTATTCAAGTATGTCATAAATATAAAAGAATTTATGGCTTCTGTGTACAATGATGTGTACACCCATGTCTAAATGACTAACACTTTTATTTTTTATGAACTATATTTTTTGTATACCAAAATAGTGGTACAAACAAGTACTCTGGCGTTTTAGAGCATTATCTGTTACTTACATTCATAATTTTGCTTTATAAAAAAGTGTACTGATTTCGTCCATACAAAATCTGGCAACCCTACCCTAGAATACTACGATAAATTTTACTCATTTAATACTTATGTTCGCCTGTGAGGCTACTTTAGAAAATATCTAAAATTTTCTTTTTAAACCATGCCATTTAAAAAAGGTTCAAATTTATTTCATAAGCTTCTAAAGAAAAGAAATAAATAGATTCAGTTCATAAATTTAATATTACCAAAACAAAATGCAGAAAAATACATAATTTAAAACCGAAATACCAAGTACAAAAAACAATTCATATCAATTTAATAATACCTTATTTTACTATTTAATAATACTCAAAAAAAAAAATTAAAGACTTATGGCCTTAGTCATAAAAAATAAAATAGCTTTAAAGAGCTTTATAAAGTGGCATTTTCATACAAAATTTACAAAGCAGTTAAAGCCTTCTTTAGTTTTTATGAATAAGGCCATTATTTTACTACAATGACTTGTGTATGAAAATAAAAACAGATCAGTTAAGGACAGTAAAGGTAAGTAAGAGAACCACCAGATACATATATACAATAGAAAGGCATATATACGGTGACCATATTTATGGGGGCCGAATACGGGACAAAAAATAATTTTGCTATTTTTTCCACGCCAGGTAACAGATCTTAAAACCTTCTTCAATGATCCTAAATATATTGGAGCTGAAAGAGCATTATTAAAGTAACATCTCAAACTTATAGGATATTTTTATCGAGATTTTTACCCCACAAAATTTGTTACAAAAAATCTTAATACAATAAAGTGCATGTTTGAAGTAGCTAGGATTTACCGTTAGTTTTTGGATTTATATTTTTTTTGACGGTGTTACGAATTTTTTGTCGTACAAAGTATGCTCGATAATATTTTTAAAAGAGAAGCAAATGAGCAGCACACATTGCACTTGCACTTTATTATAATAAATTTTAATGAGCTACAAAACTTCAAACCATTTTTTTCTAAAGATTCTAATTAAAAAGTTTGAAAGTTTGGTGAAACTTTGCAGAATTAATTTTTATAGTTTTTGCACAAACTCGGAAATTTGAATTTATATGGTTTTTGTTAGGAAAACAGCCTAAGAAACATAAAATAAACAAAATAAAAATAGCCAAACGTGGCTAAAATGTCGAGTTCTAACTTATATTTTCGTCACTGTATGTATTTCTCTATTCGAATCACAGACATTCAGGATAGAAACTAATAACGGTTTATGGAGAAAATTACGATCATATACTAACATCACTTAAAACTGGTTCATAGACATGCCATTTTAATGGGCTGTTAAGGCATCGAAATGCCGAACACTGAATACAGGACATGAAAAGGAATACAGAACATTTGGCGTCCCGTATAAAATAAAGAAATTACCAGGACAATTGGTCAAAAAAGATGACCGTCCCGTATAATACAGGGCGGATGGTCACCGTAGGCATATACCATAGTAAATAGAATAAAGTCGAATCTCTAGTCTGACGACGATATTTTTAATTAAATGTTCAAAAATTATTTTTTTTTGCACTCATTTGTTTAATGAACAAATTATATACGTTCCAATTGAAAGCATAAAGCCTATAGAATGTGAACACGTTGGTTTGTCTATTTTTTTCCTGGCGTACCTATCGGGTTGCCAGGTTTGATTAGGTAAGTAATACCATATAGTAATTTTCACTCAACTGTTTAATAAATAAGTCTTGTACCAAAATAAAGAAAATTTTATTTCGTTCTCGACGATATAAGTTTATCTGCGAAAAACTTGGCCTAAATTCCAGTTCGTGAGCTTTTAAATCAAAATACACTGTAAGGAAAATCTCAAGTTTTGAAATGACAAAAAAAAAACTCCGAGACACGGAAACTCGGGTGTACCACATAATCCCCAAAATCAAAATCCCCAAAATCACAATCCCCAAAATCAAAATCCCCAAAATTAAAATCCTCAAACATGAAATCCCCCTTTTCTGTGTGAAACTATATTCGACATTATTTCTCACAAAAAAATTCAAAACAAATTGTGTGATGAATTCGCAAATATTTATTAGGTAAATGAAAATTGAAGAAAAGGCAATACGTCGCAATAACTTATGAATATGTTTTACATAAGCTTAAATAAATACAAACTTCTTTTTTTTTCAAATTAGACCCTACTCAAAATAAATTGTATTATTTCACAAATATTTATGTATTATACATACATACATACATATCGCCGTTTAAAGTACAAAACCGCGTATCGTCATTCTGCGAAACCGCGTAACTGATATTTGCTGCCAAAAAATGGATTTTCTCACACAAGCAAATCAAATTTTTGGCAGCAAATATCAGTTACGCGGGTTTGCAGAATGACGATACGCGGTTTTGTACTTTAAACGTTGATATACATTTAGGTAAATCTAAATTTAAGAAAATAAATTACATCACATAAGTTCATATTTCTTTACCAAATTAGTTTAAAACCAAAGATGAAAGGACAAATATAAATTTAATAGCAAAGTGAAATATTGTGGGATATAGATCTCAAATAAGTTATTTTATCTAAATCCGCACGATGTTCAACAACTGTCTTAATTTTCTTGACACGCTCAACATTTTTTTTATTTTTGCGTATACCTGTGCCTGATTGTATCTTTTAAATGTTTGTTTGTACTTCAATCACCTCTTTCCTTAAATGTTTTATAATTTCATATACACCACATTTTTTTTCCTACAATTATTTTGAGCCTACGGTGCCAAGCCTCAATACAGTTTTGAGTGCGCGGAAAATTGTCTTTAAATGAATCCGAAACACACCAAAATTTTGGGTTATATTTAGGTCCGTCCGACTTTGTACTTCCAGTAATATAATTTTTTTTTAAACCAAACACAAAGTTTCTTAAAATCGTTATCTGTCGAGCTGGCATTCAGTGCGTTATAATAATCTAACACACTTTCGGGAGGAGCAAATGATAAGCTTTTCAGCATACGTATTCCCATGCTGAAACCTTCATCATTGCCGTATTTTCGAGCAAGTCTTTCTTTTTGAACTCGTCTCTAAATGATCTGGCCGAAATGGAATAAACATCCTTTATACTGGGCATCAGGAAAAAACTCTTTTGCCACAGACGAGATGGTTTGCTCAAAATCCGTAATTACTCTTTGTGGATTTAAATTAATATTTTGTGCTAGAGCCAAATGAAACAATTTGTGGAAGAACTCAGTGTATGCCTGCTTAGATTTTTTGCTCATAAGGCAAAAAACTAGAGGTACAAATTGACCACTAATTAAACCTTGAATGGTGAAAAGCTGTCGGAAAATTGAAGGTACTACGTAAAACGTACCATCACCCAACACTGCGATCTCCCTAATTCTTTCAGTGAATTCGACGTGCCCATGATGATATATTTTTCACCCTTATGATCCCAGTCACTCAAAACGAAGAGCTCACCTTCCAATTATTATAAGTGCTCTGGTATATGTATTTCTTGTAAATTATGCGGCTCACTGGCAGTATCCATTGTTTTTCGATTACGCCTAATTTTTATTTTTTGTGCTCGTTTCGACGGCAGGTACACGCGGCGGTCTGGTTGGCAGTCTACAATTTATTTGCGAAGGTTCCAGTGAAGTTGAGCTGCTCATATCTTTCACTTTATTAGTGGCATATGCTACAGGTACATGATGGGCCCTTGGATCGTGATTGTGCTCGGTAGGAGCCCGTTGGACATGTTGTTGCCACTGTCTGTTTTTGTAATCACGACACTTTTGCACTTCAGTGCTTTCCTATGCGCACAAGATCAACGAAACTCTCGTTTTTTATTTTTGGAATGAAAATGGTAATCGAATCCATCCAAATATACTTTA